TTAAGCAAGTTACAATCATAATTTGGCATTAATGTAGTACAAACACCCATTTAATTGTCAAACTATCATAATGTGGTCAGTCTCATTTGGGCCAATCAAAAGGTGACACTTGTATGATCAAGGAACACCTAAAACACCCATTTCAAATCTCTTATTTGTTCATGTCAATGTTGGAATGCTAGGTTGTGCCACAGCTAAGACATGCTTAATTAGCATATGGCATAATTAGCAAGTTACCCCATTTGTGACACATTACATTACTCGGTTGTGCATTTTAGTAATCAAAATCATGCTAGCTCCATGTTGACCAACCTAGTAATCCCATTGGATTTTTTAAAACCACTAATTTACCTTGGTAAGATATTACAAGGAATTTAAGAAAATTATTAAATTGGCAAGAGAGGTTGTCTTGAAGGTTAAAAAATCTTAGGAAAATTCTTAAAAGTTCAATAAGTGCCTCCAAACATTTCTTAGGCATTTTTTTGTCTGAAATTGTAATGAAAAATTCCAATTTTCTCCTTAAAAATATTCAAAAGTTTATAAAAAATTAAAAATAGTAAAATTTATCGAAATGTGTAAAATAATGAGAACATGTGGGACTGTTTGGATCAAATCCCTTACTTTCTTGAGATGAGGTTGATACGAATCAAAGCCTGACGATCTCCTTGAAATAAATTAATGTTATTTTTCTGTTGGGTGTCCATCAAAGACCCAAACTACTTCAATATGTCACATGATTAGATTAGACGATGCAAATCATGCTGTTTGGTCACCGGTAGTAATTTAACTAAACTTTGACTCGACTCCAATAATCAGAATAACCAAATTCTTGATCAATGTAAGAATCACTATCTCAATTTATTTACTAACATCATGAAAACCCAAACAATAAAAAAAACATGATAGATTCCAAATGCTTGAACGTCTTCAACCAACCTTGCAGGGTCGATTCCATAAAATCCAACCCTATTCCTAAAAAGATATCCATTTAATTAAATTCTTATCTCAATGACCTTAAAATCAAATTTCTCTAAAGGGATAATAAAAGTATAAAAATATTCAATATAAAAAACATCAAATAGTGTTCTATCCATTGTACACTTTTTCACCCTTATGCTTAAAAACTTGTGAATAACGTTGATTAAGAATGGATATGACCCACAAAGTAGCCTAAAATATCAAAGTGAGTTAGGTAGATCATATTAAGCCTTTGTGCTAGTAAGAATAAGTAGATGTATCTAAATTGAGTGATCAGGCCTAATACATGCCTTTGAAACACATGATAGATCATGCTTCCAAAGGTTCACATATTCACTAATATCATATCTTCTTAAATTTTTGGGCCATGCAATTTATTTTTTTCATCAAAATGTTAGGAAATATTTGGAATTCCCTAGTAAAATCGAACCATCTTGATGAAATTAGCGAGAACGAGATCCACAAATCCAAAGGAAAAATCAGAAAACAGTAATTTTATTGCAATAATCAAGCTAACGGAAGAAAAATAACAAGATACAATTGATCCTCTATTCGAGAGGAGGATTTATCTCTCCCAAATCTCTAAACGCCGCTAGAGCCCAAAAACCTAAACCTACAAAATTTCAAATTTCAGCTAGATTCCAAACTATTTAATCCATTCAATTCAAAAAGAAATCTCTAAACAACCCCTACATTCAAATTTTCCTCCTAAATCACTCAAAAATCTTTCCTAAATAGCCGTCTGGGCGTTCGGATCACGCAGCATTTGCAGGAGGCGGAGATTCCACCTCTGTTTTGTAGGCCGGTTCCGTATGGACCGGCTGGACCGGTCCAATGGACTGGTTTAACAATACTCCACTCCCAAAGTACCACCTTGTCCTCAAGGTGAAACCAAGGAAAATGTTGCTAAAGAACTTGATCAATAACATTGGACTGAAAAATGGACTAATACTAGGTTGAATAATCCCTGCTTCTAGCATCTCTCTAATCAATCTTTCGATCTCATCCTTTTGGATTTGAGGATGATGATATAGATGAACACTGAGAGGTGAAACTACTTCCTTCAAGATGGTAGCATGCTCGTGTTCTCACGGAGGAGGCAACCCTTGATGCGGCTTTAAAATCTCACTGAATTGTTGAATCAATGGTTGTACTGAAAGAGGAATGTCCCCACCCTCCTCCATTCTGATCCCCTCCAACCTATGTAGTTCCATCAGATAACCTTCCCCTATGCTCCTCACCTTGGTTTTAAGTGATATCATGGCTTTGGTGAGTCCTGCATCTCCCCTGATCACTACCCTTCTCCCTTCCACCATCAGCTCCATCTTCAATGCTCCCCAGTTGATGCCCCCAAGGTTTGCAGTCACTTTATCCCCAGGATGACATCAGTGCTCTCTAATTCCAATGGGAGAAAATCCTCCCTCATCTGAACCCCCTGTATGATCAACACTATTCCCCTACATATTCCCTGACCCGTCTCTACCTTCCCTATACTGATCATCACTCCATAACACCCTGTATCCACCAATGTCACCACCAATTGGTCCACGACCTAGTTGGAGATGAAATTATGGGTAGCCACACTGTCAATCAACATTACCACCTCCCTGTCTGCTATTTCCCTCTTCACATTCATTGTATGATTCGGAGTGAATCCCACCATTGAATTCAGGGAGACCTCTATCACGTCCAGATGCAGCTTGCCCTCCATCTCTCTCTCTCCCCTATGAATTTCAGAATTCATATTCTTTCCTTCTAGCCCTCTCGCCTCTGAAGCCGTTGTTTGGTTTTGGAATTTTAACATCTTCTTCATCATGTCTTGTAAGTCAGCCACTTGCCCTTCCATGAAGGAAATTTTTTCCTTCCCCATGGTCTTAATTTGGTTATCTCCCCTTCAAGTCGTTCCTTCAATGCATCTACCTTTTTGGCTGCCATAAAATTTCTGAATATTGATTCAAAATTCCGCAATAAACTATCCCCCGAACACAAAAACCATCGTTGAAATTTCAGAAAACCAGCACACGATGGTCCCAAAATTTGCTTTGATACCAATTTGTTAAGAAATACTTGGAATTCCCAAGTAAACCTAATTATCTTGATGAAATCAAGGAGAATGATCCACAAATCCAAAGGAAAAACTAGAAAACAGTAGTTTTATTGTGATAATCAAACTAATGGAAGAAAAATAACAAGATATAATTGATCCTCTATTCAAGAGGAGGATCTATTTCTCCCAAATCTCTAGACGTTGCTAGAGCCCAAAAACCTAAACCCAAGAGATCTAAAATTTCAGCCAAATTCAAGATGCCCTAACCCTAGGAAAACAAACTATTTAATATATACAATTCAAAAGGAAATCTCTAAATAGTCCTTACATTCAAATTTCCCTACCAAATCCCTCAAAAATCTTTCCTAAACAACTCTATCTTGGCGTTCAGATCGCGCGACATCTGTAGGAGGCGGAGATTTTGCCTCTGTTTCGCAAGCCGGTCCCGTATGGACCGGCTGGACCCGTCCAGTGGACCGGTCTAACACAAAATGATTCTCATACTTATGAAATTATTAAGGTGAAAGGGCTTGAATTGGTGAAAGGCAAAATGTGAAACAATCAATTTTCACGTAAGGTGTCAGGTATTAAAAAAAAAACCTTTTTTAATATCTTAATTTTCATAACTTAAATCTATATGCTTAAGAAAATGCATATAAAGTACTTAATGTAATTTAATACATATCATAACTAGTATTTACAAATAGTACTATATTTAGTAGAATAACAGATAAATTAAAAATGTTTCATTCTGCATATTCTTAAATAAAGGCATGACACTATAAATAAGAAATTAATACTACTATAAATATAATATGATTTTAGTAATCACATTAGAAGTTGTATAATTAAAAAAACATCCAACAAATAGTTGACCTTCTCAACAAATGAAGAAAATTTTCATCATCACCATCTTTAGCCTTCTGCTAATTATTTGTTATCAGTTTATGAATTTTTTAATTCATAACATGAGGTATTATATCTATTTTGTACAATTCTTGTTTTACAACATCTAACTATTTTGCCTTTAGTCTAATTTTTTTCTTAATCTTTTCATATTAATTTTATCCACTCACCTTATTGATGTTTCTTTTAATTTGTATTATGCATTCCCAAACCATTTTGTATATTTTTCACCAGATTATTTTAAATAGATACTACGCATGCCATCCCCCATAATATATTCATTTTACACATTAATTTATTGCTTTTTCACACACACCTTAAAGTAAGTTCTCAGTTCTATACTTCTATACACTCAAGGTTGCTATGAATGACTTTTTTGTCCTTAATACTTGGATCAATATAACATAATCAGTTTATTGGAGTTTTACATAATTTTTTTTAAAATAATTTTTATGATATTCTCTAACCATTTAGTAGTTTTTGGTTCCATTTAAAGTTTTAAACCACCTAAATTTAACTCTAGTAGCTATGCTTTTGGTTATGTGTGTGTGTTTGTGTGTGTGTGTGTGTGTATATATATATATATATAATTAATGAGGCGTCATTGAAGTTTACTCTCTTCTATTATTATTGACTAATCATTAATTTCAAATAGATCAAGTTGCAAGTTGTGCAACCTTCCTTCCGGATCTTGCATGGAGTGTCTATGCACTTGAATGCTAATTAGTTAAACTTGTTGCAACGTTGATATCATGATTTTTTTTTAAGTATGGTCTAATTGATTCATTTTGTGTCTATGGGTGTATGTTGTTCATGATTTGAGAGTCCAATTTATTTATCAAGTTATTTTTCCTAATTTATTTTTAACTACAGTATTGAAAGTATTGAAAGCGACCTCTTTGGGTTGTCAATTGTCATAATATATCAATGCTTATTTTCTTGACAATAAAAAAAGTTGTTGCTTCAAAAACTAGGCTTAAGTGACCCATTTGTTTAGTAGAAAGCTATATTTAATTCTCTTTTTTCCTTTGTTTAAGTAGCTTCTTATAATGTGTTCTTTTACATACAGAGGCAGTTGGAAACGGTAGGTGCACAAAGGGCCAGCCTTGAGGACATGCTTAAAGAGATGAAAAGAAAGGTGAGTAATGTTTTATCACAATATTTGGCGAAAAGTTTGAGTTGCCTTGATAGCACATGAGATACGTTCTTGTATCAGGCTGGAGGTATTCTGGTGCTGCATACTTGAAATAGCACGCAAAATATGAAGTCCACAGATGTTTTTTTTGGTAGCATTAAAAGTTTGCTTTGTCCATCTGTTTTCATATTGCAGATACTAGCATATGCTCTGCTCAAGGTTCTCCTGAAATGATCAAGCTGTCACACTCAGTGCAATTAGACTAAAAAACAGAGAAGTGTTGAATCTGTTAGGTCCCAGTTCCCATATATTTACTGGGCGGTTTGGTGTTCTGATGGTTTGTTTAGTATTTTGTTTCTCTATTCCATATCAAAGATTCTGGATTATCAAACCAAGTGTTTTTTCCTATTAGAATAGTGTTAGACCAGTCCAGCTGGTCCATACGAGATCGGCCTACAAACAAACATAGGCGGAACTCTCTGCTTTATGCCGCATGATCCGGCGCCCAGACAGAGTGGTTTAGGAAGGTTTTTGAAGGGAGTTATGAGGGAAATTTGAATGTAGGGACTGTTTAGAGATTTCCTTTTGGATTGTATGCATTAAATAGTTTGTTTTCCTAGGGTTAGGACATTTTGAATTTGACTGAAATTTGAGATCTTTTAGGTTTAGGTTTTTGGGCTCTAGTGGCGTCTAGAGAGAGAGATCATCCTCTTGAATAGAGGATCAATTGTATCTTGTTATTTTTCTTCATTTAATTTGTTTATCGCAATAAAATTACAGTTTTTCTGATTTTTCCTTTGAATTTGTGGATCGTTCTTACTGATTTCATCGAGATATTTAGGTTTTGCTTTGGAATTCCAAGTATTTTCTGACAAATTGGTATCACAGAAATTTCCTGGCCAGTAATCGAAGTCTCATCGCTAATTTCTGCTATGTCTTACTCGCCTATCTGCTGTTTTTTGTTGTTTGAAGGTCAGAACTGCTGTTTTTTTGGCCGTTTTTGTTGTTTGGAGCTTAGAACCGGGTATCCATGCCAGGAAAAAAGGTAGAAGTGTTAGAAGGGGAGATCAGACAAATGAAATTTGAAATTTCAGATTTCCAAACTTAAGTTTCAGATTTAAAAAAGGATATTTCAATCATCCATGATAAGATCGACTCGAAATTTTCCATCCTGGAGGAGATGTTGAAGAAAGTGCTCAAGAGCCAAACCAAAATATTACCGTTGGAGGTGAAGGAGGCGCCGACAGTTTGGGAAGTGGGGAAAACCGTAAGCCAATCAGACGAAGGGAAGATCAAGATGTGGAGATTTTGGAGGGAACAGAAAAAATGCCTCCCCTAAGGCCTATTCCTAGGGAGGAGATAGGTAGAGCCGTAGAGGGTATGTGGAGAGGCGTGAGGGGGTTGGGTTTGAGTGGAGGGGTGATGAATTTGAAAGAAGATGGGCTGAATTTGAAAGATGAGGACTTGATTACGATTGAAGAGATGCCTAATTTGAAAGGAGAAGGGTTGAGTATGATCGGAGAGTTGTTGAATTTGAAGGGGGAAGGTGGGCTTGTGAGGAAAGGGTTGGGTGCGAGAGGAGGGATGATCAACACAATTGGTGGGAACCACCCCCTTGGAAAATGGGAAATTTGGGAGGAAGCAGGGTTGACGGAGGAGATCTGAGAGTGAGGAAATTGAAGATGTCTATTTTTTAGGGAGAAGATGCGCACGAGTGGATCTACAAGGTATAAAGATATTTCGCCGTTAACGGGTTAACCGAGGAGGAGAGACTGACTGCAACAAGCCTATGTTTGGAAGGGAAGGCTTTGGCTTGGTAATAGTGAAGGGACATGCGACGACCCATATGTAGTTGGAGGGAGTTCAAGGATTGTTTGGTAGAACGTTTCCTAACTGGCAGGGGAGGAGAATTCTACGCGCAATTCTTCGCCTTGGCACATGATGGTTCAGTGATAGAATTTCGAGAGAGATTCAAGTACCTTGCTAGCCGATTGAACTGCCTTCCTGAGACAGTGCTAGAGGAAAATTTCAGAGATCCGAGCAGCAGTAGAGTGATGAGGCATTGTGACTTGGGAGATGATATGGAGCTAGCTCAGTTGGTGAGAGGCAGCAGCAGCTCAGGAGGCTTGTATAGGATGACCACCACCTTATTGGCATCTAAGGAGCCAACACCAGATATTCTTCGGGGGACTTCGAAGGAAATGACTGCAGGAGGAAGACCCGGGGACAATTTCAAGAAGCTCATAAAAATGGAATTATAGGAGAAGAGGGAAAATGGTCTCTGTTTTAGATTTGACGAGAGGTATACGCCAGAGCACAAGTGTAAGGACCGAACTCTTCAGGTTCTTACCATTTGTGATGACGAGAGAATGGAGGAGGGTGTTGCTTTTCCTCCTTGCAGACAAGGTTGGTCTTTGGGAGGGGAGTATTATTAGTCCGGTCCACTCGTACGGTCCAACTGGTGCATATGAGACCGGCCTACGAACAAACAGAGGTGCAACTCTCCGCCTATTGCATATGCCGCGCGATCCGACGCCCATATACAACAATTTAGGAAGGTTTTTGAAGGGAGTTAGGTGGGAAATTTGAATGCAGGGATTGTTTAGAGATTTCTTTTTGAATTGTATATATTAAATAGTTTGTTTTCCTAGGGCTAGGGCACCTTGAATTTGGCTGAAATTTGAGACCTCTTAGATTTAGATTTTTGGGCTCTAGCAGCGTCTAGAGATGTGGGAGACAGAGGTCCTTCTCTCGTATAGAGGATCAATTGCATTTTGTTATTTTTCTTCTGTTAGTTTGTTTATCGCAATAAAATTACTATTTTTCTGATTTTTCCTTTGGATTTGTGGATCGTTCTCGCTGATTTCATCAAGATAGTTAGGTTTTACTTGAGAATTCCAAGTGTTTCCTAACAAATTGCTGGCCTTGGCGTAGATGATATTTTAGAGTAGTCTGGTTGATAATCATGTGTAACCTTTATAGTTCACTAGCATAGAGAATTTGGTTGTTAAAGTGTATATGTAGTTTAGCATTTTACTCTTAAATTTGCACAATTTTTTTCCATTGAAGAAACTAAGAAAAACAACTGGGAGATGGTTATGCATTTTGAAAGGGTTAGGTGGCAAGAAAATGTTAGGCTGAAGTCAAATTGGCTAGAAATTGTTAAGAACAACTTAGATAGACCAGCATTAACTTGAAAGGCAGCTCTAACCTGGTTGATTGTAAAAATGAATTCATAGAAGCCAGTTGGTAATATTTGTGATAAGAATGTTGATTGTATTGAGAAGATGTCAGTTGTGAACTGCAAGCCTGCAGATTTTTTTAAGATATATTATTTTAGTTATATGCTTTTGTAAGAATAAAGTCCATGTTTTCTACAAACTTTTTTAAATCTTTTTTATATCTCCTTTCTGGAGTTTGATATCCAATACCAATTGCCAATCAAGTGACCGCATAGAGTGGCTTAGGAGTTCCTAGTGGCGTATGCATGCCCAACCTAATTCTACTGATGTTCAGTCTGTCTGTATGGAAGCCATTGCTGCTGAGTGCTGACTGTGTTTCATTTTCGTGCCAGCTAATGTCTTGTTCTGGTTTCCACACTTTATTTTTGTTTTCATTTTGGGGTACTTAAAGTTGTTATTATTTGTAATCTTCTTCATTATCTATTTCTTCTATAGTAAACTTTTAAGAAATTAATTCTTTATTGCAGGATGATATATTACCCAAATTGATGGCTAGGACTGGGTCGCTGGAGGAGCTTTTCAGGAATGAGATATCAAAATATGATCATATTTGTGAAGAAATTGGCAAAAATATGAAAGCTCAAGAACAATTATTGCTACAAATTCAGGTTAGTAGTTTCTCATTCCTTGCATCTTAAAATTTGAACAACTTTCAATTATATGTGGTGGATGAATTTTACCTATTTTTGGTATTCATTTTATCATGTCAAATTTATCATAGATACTTTTTAGCACAGTGAACATGATAAAAAGTGGATGTCACGGACTCCTGTTCACATATTGTAGTGACATTTCATTTTAAGATCTATTTTAGCATCTTTGAACTGGACACTAATGATAGATTTGTTTTTTGAATATTGCATTTGTTAAATTCAGAGAATTGGAGAGGGAGAATGATGTAAAACGATCATGCGAAAATTGGTTTGAAGTAAGAGCTTGCACCCTTAACTTTAGGAGCAACAATAATTATACTCATTATAGTGATTTAAACGCAAAATAAACAATAAGGTGATAAATCAAGCTTAGGTTAATTCACATGAATAGAAGTTAAGTTCAAAAGATAGCCAACTTAATCCAACATTGCATACATGGATTGTTCCAACAATGAATTCCAATACTAACAATAAGATTAGTCTATGAAAGATCCCTCACACAACTCTTCCTATTACTAAGTTCTAGCGGTGAATAATTGACATGATCTTCATGAATCCATTAATAACCATAAACGAAAAGTAAACTAGGAAGATAAGACATAAGAGAGGAGTCCCAAGAAGAGCTTTACCCAATGAAAAGATAATGTAGACCTCTTATGCGAAGGTCTGGATGCTTGAAAGATGGTTGGCAGCAGCCTTCAACTCTTAGTTGACTGTGGACAGTCGTTTGGCAACTCCTGAGGGGAGAACAGCCACCAACCTTGGCTTAGAATCCTTGGGCAGCGGGTGGGAATCCTTCCAAGCGGCTGGACAGCTTTTGATCTTCGATGGACTGCAACTAGGAGGTCTTCAGGTTGGCGAAACAACACGTGAAGCCTGCTGGAGTCTATGAATGGTAGATGGGAGCCTTCAGGAAATCAAAATAGGGAATTCGAAAGGGCAGAACAGCAGCTTTCAAGATCCTGAAATTCGAGACAGCAAAAGAACCCGTCCAGAAATCTGGACAGCCAATTGTGGAGCAGAATTTCAGGGATTTTCAAATCTCAGATTTGAAATCTGAAATAAACTGAAGTTACGTTTGAGAGGGGAGGTATTTGGGAGGTAATTAAGAGGTGATGAGGTGGCAATTAGAGAGAGAATCAATGGGGTGAGGTGGCCAGCCATAAGGAGAGAGAAAGGGGCTTGGTAATGAATAAAATGTGGCCCGCAATTAATGACAAATTTTAATAAAAATTCTGAACAGAAACTTCAGGTTTCAATTTAGGGAAGTTTCCTAATGCATGGCAATCAAGAGAATTGATTTGAATTTCAAATTTGACTTGAAACACAATTAAGAAGATTGCCAAAAATAAAGGATTTAATTAAGGAAAGTCAATTATGTCTCATGGGGGATTTGAAATTTCAACTTTCAAACCTCATGAAGGGAGGCCGGCGGCTAGAGGGGGGGACGGAGCCAAGGGGGACGGGTGGATGGCCGGCGGGTGGTGTCTGTTTGGGCGCCAGCGGCTTGTGGGGGCCAATGGGGCGGCGGCAAGGTTGAGGGGAGGGAGAACGGAAATTGAAAGAGATCGTTCGGAGGGGGGAAAAGGAGAGAAGAAGAAAAGATATGGGGTAGAAAACCAAGAGCTCCACCAAGGGGCTGTTGGGTATTGCTTTGAACCTCTCCTAGGCTTTCCTCACTTGAGAACTCACAAAGAGAACTCTAGAACTCACAAAGAGATCCAAAACCAAAATTTTCATTAACAATAATCATCATCCCTTTCCAAGAGGAAGGGGAGGGCTTAAATAGCCAAATACATGAAGAAAAATAAAATGACACAATTGCCCCTAGGGAAAACATAAAACAAAGCCCTCAAGTGAGGGTAGAAATGGAAAAGTACAAATAACAAATAAAATACATCAAAATAAATAGACACGATCATAGCCGTTGATCTTCGATGTCCTCATCAGAGAAGGCTTAATTTTATTGCACAAAATTATCCCTATTTATAGATCTATATAAGATATCTTAATAAAGAAACAAATAATTATAAAATCATGCATAATTGCTTTAATAGAATCCTTCCTAAATTAGCCAACTAAATATGGAAGGAGATCGACGTGATCCAGGTGAGCCTCCCACGGATTCCCATTCTAGTCGTGGGATCAAAATGCCAAGGGACGGCTAGGATTTAATACTTCCACTCAAGCTGGGGAATATAGATCTATCATTCCCAGCTTGGTAATCAATCCCAGAAAAATAGAGTTATCGAGTCCCTTAATAAGAATATCTACAAGCTAATCTTTTGATCATACATGACTGATAGATATAAGACCACAGTCTAATTTCTCCTTACTTTTTTCCTTCCATGGCGCCTCTTTAGTTGACATCATTGTTGAACCTTCAACTAAATTTGGCTCTAGCATTACCCCTTGTCGACTTTCCTCAACACGAATGAGAGAAATGATTTTGTTTAATGAGGATGTCTCCTCTTTTCCAAGGATCTGAACTTTAACATGATCAAACTCCTTATTTAATCTTGCAAGAAAGTCACACACTCTATCTTTCTCAATAAAAAATTTCATGATAGCAGCATCTTCTGGACACTGGTTTCTATGCCTCTGTAGTGATCAAGTTATTGCCATAAGTTTTGAAGGAGAGTGGCATATTCCGTTACACTTTTTATTTCTTCAGTTGTGCTTCCTACCTTGACCTTAATTTTAAAGATCTAGACAGCGTTCAGAGCCTTTGAGAAGGTTTGACTGGCGGCATCTCATATGTCCTTTGCTGTAGATATGAACATAAACGTATCACTAATTTCTTGAGCCATGAAATTCCACAACCATGACATAATCATAGAGTTCGCTTCATCCCATGCCCAAAAAATTATGATATCCTTCTTTTGGTCCTACCCCAAGGAGGTGATTCAACTTTCATTTCCCTTTCAAGTAGGTCTTCACAAATTGAGATCAGTTCAAGTAATTCTTCCCATTTAAGCAATAGGAAGGTTGCATATTTTGGAGATCTCCCCTTGGTGCATCATAGAATCCTTCATTTGATCAAAACCTTTGGGAGGAATTTGCTTCAGACATTGCGGCGGAAAATTGTAGCAATGAAGACTATATCAAGCAGGGCAGCAATGAAGGTTGTGTTGGTTATAGATAGGATAACAACAAGGGAATGCCGAGAATGAAGGCACGATTGTACAAAAAGCTCAAAATTCCGGCAATGGTAATGAAGACTTTGATACCATATTAAATTCAAAGAATTGGAGAGGGAAAAATGCTTAATTTTATTGCACAAAACTATCCATATTTATAGATCTATACAAGATATCTTAATAAAGAAATAAATAATTACAAAATCATGCATAATTTCTCTAATATAATCCTTCCTAAATTAGCCAACTAAATATGGAAGGAGATCAGCGTGATCCAGGTGAGCCTCCTGCGGATTCCCATCCTAGTCGTGGGATCAAAATGCCTAGGGACGGCTAGTATTTAACAACATTAAATAGAATATCTTTAATTTTTTAGGCCTGGTTCAAGATACATTATATAATATACAAAGCTTGTCTCTTCCAACTTTTATGTGCATGTATGTGTATGTTGCTTTCCAAGAGAGCAGTTTAATACTTTAATATGCATGTACTGAACTGTAGTTAATATGGTAATATATTTTCGCCAGGAGAGTTACTTTTTTTCCTTATTAAGTATATTCTGTATCCTTTTGTATTTAAAGAAAACTCAATCCGGTTTGGTATTTAAGCCTCCACAGTGTAGCGGAAAATGCTAGTCAGAATCTTTGACCAGCTCACTATTCAACTTGTCAGTCTAAGTTCTGTTACGTGATACTGAGCCATTTTTAATAAAGATTTTTGTGACTTATTGCTGCTCTAGAAATTGTCTATAATGGATTTCCATACTGCATGGAAACTACAATGATGATCAGCAATTGAAAAGGTTAATAATAGTGGTAATGATGGATGAAAATAGCCGCTCCACAGGCATGTTAATAGCTCGGAATATGTTAAATTATTAGACTAGCAATTATTTTTCCCTGGGCAAAGCTTATTTGCTTATATTAGAGGTGGACTCAGGTTCATATTTATATTAAAACTGTTTAGCATTCATTTGCTTTGGGCAGCTAAGTTGTTGCATGAAATTCTACTTCACCAGTAACGGAATTGTGGGCAATTTTGAAGTGTTATCTTCGTCATGGTTTTGCATTGTCACAATAGGTTTTAGGATCAAATTGACCCCCTTGTGAATTTTTCATTTTTTTCTTTTACACATTTTTAGGGCTTGCTAAGTTTAGTATATTCTACCTGAATCAATATTTCAAGGGTTACCTTCATAGCATTGCTTTTACATTAATCATTGTTACTGAAGCGGTCAAACTAGTTTTTATTGTTGCAGTGTTTCTTGCTGTACAAGAAATTCTTAGATAACCCAACCATTCCTTGTGACCTAATTAGCATACTTAGTTTGCATTAGAAAGCATTACTTATAAAAAAAATAATAGTAATAAAAAAATAGAAAGCATTACTTATGTTACATAATTCTTTCATCAATGAATCCCTTCTATCTTATATTGCATCAATCCATAATATTTTGTGTTAAAACTATCAAAGGGGATGGTCTGTGGAAGGAAACCCATTTTTCAAGAGCCATTAGGTTTTATTTCCAAACAATACCTTCTATTAGGTTCAGCTTTTTGGTAGTGAAATTAACTTCCTCAAATGCAAGCACTTTTTGATGACAACTAAAGTGAATGCAGTTATCATTTTGATAGGAAACACTTGAAATCAAGTATTTCCTATTCACCTTTACAGCAAAACTCTACGAAATACTGCTGTCCGGAGCAGGAAAACAGTAAAAACAGCGGAAAAACTGTAGAAAACTGAGAGAAATTCGTAGGAAAAACTTGTATTTTACTAGTAGAAGAAGAAAACAGCAAAGATACAATTGATCCTCAATTCGAGAGGAGGATCGATCTCTCCCAAATCTCTAGACGCCGCTAGAGCCCAAAGAAAACCTAAATCTAAGCGATCTCAAATTTCAGCCAAATTCAAGATGCCCAAACCCTAGGAAAAACATCTATTTAATGCATACAAATCAAAAAGAATTCCCTAAACAGTCCCTACATTCAAATTTCTCTCTGAAACCCCCCAAAAATCATTCCTAAAACGCTCTATATGAGCGATCGGGCCGCTCGTTCTGGCGGAATCTCCGCCTGTTTTGCGATTTTGCCCGTGAACCGGTCCTGCCTGGACCGGCTGGACCGGTCCAGTGGACCGCTCTAACACATTTCACACTCAAAATCTTCAAAGGTTGTTGTAATTTGATGATATCAATTAATATATGAAGAAATCATCTTTTATTAACATGAAAATCTCGTGCAGTAAAATTTATCAGTTTCTTTTTCTTTTTGATGTGCAATTGAAGTCAGTGATATTTGCTCTACCTTTAACAAGAAACATGTACCACAACTCCCTTCTTTAGCAATTTCTTACATCTACGCCATCTACGCCTACTTGTTCTGTCAGAAACTTAAGAATACATCAGTTTAACACCTAATTGATGCTCAGGATTGCGGAGGGAATTCTCTTACTGCTTGCTGTTTGCATATTATCTAAGGAAGCATGTCAGTTAAAGTATTTTCTGTTATTAACATCTTTTAAGATATTAGATGCATTAACTATATTTCTCTGATATAACATCATGATTTTCCTTGTTCTCAGGCACAAAATGATGAGTTCACTTCTGTGTTTAATCTGGAAGATTACAAAGGTAATAAAGTTTTTTGGTATGGTTTTAGTTTTTTTGGTCTATTGCATTTTATATTTTCTAGTAAATTATACATTACCTTTAAATCTTTAAGTACAATTTGATCCCTAGGATTTTTGAAGGGGCTTGAGATTGTTCCTTCTCATTAACCGGGCCACAAAAATTCATTACATTGTGAAAAAAAAAAATTGTTCATCTTAGCAAGCATTGACTCTTCTTTTAACTAAAAACGTTTCATCGTATCTCTCATCATTATTAACTTACAATTTTTATGCCTTAATTTTTTTAAAGCTTCCTTCAAACCAACCCCTCCTCCGACCAACATAAAAAAGGTCAAATGGCTAATAATGATGTTAATGATTAGTTGGATGGTCAATGGTAAAACTTATGCCAAAATCAGTGAAATTAATCTAAATTTCATAAATCATAAAACACGAAGAAGCTTGCTAAGCATATGATTGGTGTATTAATATCTTATTTCATTATAAATAAGGGTGTCGTATGATTCAATTAAATGAAGACATTAGAAGGTTATTACAAAATGACTAGGAATTGGCTAAAACTTTCATAAGTTTGTTAACTATGATTTTCTGTGTTATTTACGTCGACAGGTCTATAGGTCGCAAGGTAAATCATGAAAATATTTAGGACTATAAGAACAAATGTAGACCTTAGCAAGCATGATTTCTGGTTGCTTCGTGAGATATTTCTCTGAACCAAGTGTGCATGGGACTAGTGCTTTTGGCCCTCTCATCATTCACCCTTAAAAATTCAAGACAGATTTTTCTTTTAATTCTGCTTAATTCCCTCTTCAAATTTTTATATGGATCTTCATTATGATGTTACCATGTAGATTGGTTGGGTTTACTGTCCTTTTTCTTTGGGTATTTTGTTCTGACTTGAAGAGTTCTGAATCCAGTCAATAGGGACAGGAGCTATAAAAAGATTGCTGCAGCTGTGGAAAAATATCGAGAAATAAAGGAGAATATCAATGAAGGATTGAAATTCTACATCACTCTTCAGGTATTCAAATTCATTTTAGTTGAGAAGATGTGTACCAAGTATAGTAACCCTTTCATACCTCGATATGTGACTTTCATTTCGGTTAAATTATATTTTATGCGGTGGAATGATGGAAATCTAGTTAATTGAATTCGTCATCATTATGATCATTAGTCATATCACCACTATTTTGGCTAAGCTTTATAACTCCTCATTCCCAACTTGTTTGTGTTGAGTGCTTGATGAATCTAATCAAAGTTGAAGTGGACTAGGACTTTCATTTAACCGTAATGTTGTGGAAGGTTTAGCTGTTCATGTGTTTGTATCGATAATATCCAAAGGTCCTGATTGCTGCGCATATAATCTGTTCCGGTAGGGAAGGAAGGTCTTTTTTGGTGCAATAGGTTTATCATGTGAATCAGCTAATGAAATATCTAGTACAATCCAGGTCTTTGTTTGATCACTTACTGATTCCAGGCTGTACAACTTCAAATCACTTTCTAGAAGCTCATGCTCCTCTATTGTATCACATTTGTTATTTTTTATGTTTGAAAATAATAAAAAAACTTAATTCTAACACTAGGAGCAATATAAATTAAAAAAAAAAGATTTTATGTTGCGTACTGAAACATTCGCGGCGGTAGAGAGATGGTGTGTTTAATGTCCTAGTTTTGTACGAATATGTAGCACATAGATAGATAAGAGAGAGGGGTGCAACGATCATAAGAGACCAGATTTTTTATGTGGAAAACCCAAGAAAGGGAAAAACCATGGAGCTTGACCTATTTAAAATAAATTATCTAGTGTTTGTTGTTGATCATAAATGATGCCCTTCCTTGGGGGAAGGCGTTGACTCAATGTAGCAAATATACATCGTATATAGCACATTACATTGTTGGAGTTGGAAGAATCCAATGACATGAGAGTTGTTCTCAAAAGAGCATTAGCTTGTTTGTTTGGTTAGTAGGTCAATAGCCATACAACTGTGGTCAAAGGAACCATAGTCGGTGACGATGGTTGGAGGGACCGTAGTTTGACGATGGTTGTCAGAGGAACTGTAGTCGAGCGATGGAGGTCAGGGACTGCAGTCGGGCAACTGAGGTCAAAGGTACTATAATTTATAGTGATGGAGGCTAGAAGGATCATAGTCGGCTAGCGACAGAGGTCGGAGAGACTGTTACTGGGTGACAAAGGTTGGAGGGACTGTTACTGGGTGTCAGAGGTCAGAGGGACCATAGTCGGCCTTCAATGGAGGTCACAAGGGTTGTAGTCGGTAGGCTACTATGGTCAAAGGGACCGTAGTCGATAGACAGAGGTCGGAGGGACCGTAACCGGGCGACGGAGCTCGGAGGGGTCGTTGTTGGGCGACGGATGTCGACTGTAGTCAACAATTATGATATGAGGATTATAGTTGGCGGGTGATTGTGGTCCAAGGGACCATAGTCGAGCAACTGAGGTTGAAGGGACCATAGTTTGTAGTGGCAGAGGCCAGAAGGACCTTAGTCGGCTGATGACGGAGGTTGGAGGGACCATAGTTCGGAGACAAAGATTAGATGGACCGTTGTCGGGTGACGGAGATCAAAGGGACCATAGACAAAGGATGATGTTGGTCACAAGGTTCGTAGTCTTTGGGTGATGGAGTCGGAGGGACCGTTATCATGAGACGGTGGTTTGAGGGACCGTAGTCGAGCGACTGAGGTCAAAAGAATAGTTGCCAGGCAATGGAAGTCGGAGGGATCGTAGTCGGACGATTAAGGTCAAAGGAATTGTTATCAGGCGACGAAAGTTGGAGGGACCGTAATCGGTTTATCGACTGAAGTCCGAAGGACCATAATTAGCAAGCGATATAGGTCGGAGGGACCGTTATCGTGTGATAGTGGTTGGAGGGGCTATAGTTGACAAGCGACTGAGGTCGAAAGGACAGTAGTCGACGGGCGCTTTCAGGCAAATGGAGGTCGGAGAGACTGTAGTCGGCGGGCATCGGAGGTCGGAAGGACCATTGTCAGTAGACGACAAAGGTAAGAGGGACCGTAGTTGGGTGATAGAGGTCCGAGGGACCGTAGTAGGGTGACAGTGGTTTGAGGGCCGTAATCAGGTGACGGAGGTTCGAGGGACTATATGTGACGCCCCAAGATCTAACTTGGAAAGAATTTCAATCAATTCATTAAAACCATTTACCAGAGCTATCTATAGCCTCAATCAAACAGTCTAGCAAAAATCTATAACATTTAAAACATCAATATACGAGTCGATTCATATCTCAAAAGATCATATACAATACTCAGGAACTACACTATGACCACAAGAACTGAAATCTATCCTGTCCTGAATACAAAAGAATCACTATAACCAAAAGAACAAAAACCTGGAGATTCTTGATCAACCTCAATCTCCTACTCCCTTGCCCTGATCTAAAAATATTAACCACATATAATGAGCTTCAAAAAGCCCAGCAGGTCACCTAATACCTATAACTGAAATCAAAACACGGTACTAGAAATAATATGCATGTCAATCTATTAAATCCACAACAGTCTATTGCACATGATCAATGAATCTATGCAAAAACGAAAATCAAATCAATAGTCAATGCAGCGGTAAAAGAATCAATAAACAATAGGAAATCAATCGATCAGTCAAATCAATCGTATCAATCAAAACAATACTATTTGGTCAATCAATATGAAATCATCAAATCAATACAATAAAACCCAGTCTATACTAGCAATGAATCCAATGCAGCAGTTCAATACAGTGTAGAAACAATAGTATCAATCAATGTCAATGAATCCATAGTATCCATACAATATCTATAACAGTAGCAATGTGCAGTGACAGAATATAAATATCAATGAAATCGTACGATAACAATAAGCCCGTAAATCCGTCAGTAAAACCAAATCAATAAAGCAATAAATCCATTACGAGTCAATGTCGTACACATGCATTTCAATACAACAATCTTACTTGACAAGTACAATCACTGGCTATCAATAATCCAAATTGCTGTTGTAGAAATCCATAGTGCTGTTGTAGATATCCATACGTTGGTTCAATAAGAGTCGTCACTCTGTGCCCGTCGGCATATCAATCTCCTTATGACTCCCAATCGTTATATCAATGATCAATAGTTTAAAGGAAAGCCCGTCGGCCCACCATCCTGTACAGGTCAAGTCAATCTCCAACCAACGGTTCAACCAGGCTCCACTTGGCTTTCAGTATCAATAATCAGATAGTCACATTCATATGCATATCAATTCAAATCATCAATTTCAGAAAGTCGGAAATCGTACGAAAATCCAGCGGCATAACGGCAGTATACAGAATTTACACAAAAATTTCTAAAATCACAATTTTACCAAATTACCACAGAACGTTCACAACAATATTATAAGACTTCTATTCTACTGAAGCGACATCAATCAACAACCCGATAATTATCTATTCGATCAAAATCGCGTAGAACCCAAAATAACCGGTAGAATCGTTACAGAAAATACTCAAAACGTGTAGAAAAATCATATCAATAACATATCAAAAGTTGTGCGGTGAAAGTTTCGTCAATACAAAATGCGGCGCGTTTATCGGTAACGAAAACACAAATCTGTGCTCAAAACGATCAAAACTCAACATCTTTGAAAACAAAAACAGGATTCGGAGTCCTTACAGCGAGATAAACAAATCGCTCAACAGCGGCGACGGACGAAAAGCGCTCCGCGTCCTCCGAAACCAAGCTTTTCCTTTGCTTTTCTTCTCTTTCTCTCTCCTCAGATATTTTTGATTTTATAAAAAGTTTTTCTCTCTCCTCAAATCGAGCTGATTTCCTTATAACATCAGTCTGATCGTCCTGGCCGATCGCCACATCGTCCAGGACGATATGAACAATTTTCAATCGTCCAGGACGATTTTGCAGGACGATAATTAATTTGCCAAAAACCCTTGCTCTCGGGATTTTGCCATGCACTGATCGTCCCAGGACGATCCCAAATCGGCCTGGACGATCCTGGGAGGAAAAAATCAGATCCAGAAAAGAGAAAAACAAAGGAACGAGCTCTCACACTATAGTTGGCGGGCGACGAAAGTCGGATGGCAGTGACTAAGTAGAGACCCAACGACGGTGGTCGGACGAAGTTCCGACGTGAGGTTTGGGTGGAGGTCTGATCGTGACGGTCGGTAAAAGTTCGGCGGCGATGGCCAGATGACGATGGTTCGCCGACAGTGGTACTTGGGTGGAACTGTGGGATTCATCTGACTTCAAAGCTCTATTGAACCTCTAGTGTGCATATTTAATTTTGGAAGTTTTCAATTGAGTTATGCCTCGAGATTCATGCCCGATGAAACCAATTTTTGGTGACATATCAAGTGCATAAAATAATAAGAATTGTGTATAAGTTCACCCAATATATTGCTACATCTGCTTATCGTCATTACAGATTTTCCTCTGAACAATCACAACTATATTTCCTTTGATATAAACTTAAGATCGTACCCCTTCTTATAAAAGAAATCAAGACAGTCAGAAAACATAATAAATAGCAATTTGCTCCATGGTCTTCATGCGATGCTGGCAACTCTAACTTTTGAGCACCCGTCACAGGATGCCATAACAAATGTAAAGCAACAATGCAGTGATTTTGTGATGACCAGAAACATCCAATGTAAAGAAATGATAGACGACGTGCAGAGGAAAGTATCTGGGTTCAATTTTTCTGGTGTCGTTAAGGCAGATCGTTATCCCCTTGTTGGAAATCCCAGCCAGAAGAAAAGTATACCTAAACCCACACAACCCCAAGTTCCTCATACTTTTCAACCGGGCCACCCCTACAGCACACTTTATCCTTATCCTCCAGAACAAGGTAGCTTTCCTAAGCCACAATAGAGGTATTATATGTATATATTTTCATGGTCTTCTGATTGTCTTAGCAGTTGATTTCGCTGCCCTTCAAGCGATTGTTGATTCAAAATGATTTGATTCCAAATTATATATATACACTTATACTTAGGCTTCGTTTGGGACAGTTTTTTTGTTGCTTTCTAAAACAACTTTTTAGTATAAATTTAGAAAGTTTTATGCTAAGAAGTCATTTTAGAAAGCAGTATGAAAGTTGTTCCAAACGAAGCCTTAGTGTGCATAACTTGGATGAATAGACTGTTAAACTTCATGTCGTAGTTGTATCTCCAGATAAGATCTGTACTGTATAGTTTATTGTTGAATAGGCTGCAAACCGAAGCAAAAAGTTTTGGTATGATGTTGATTTCTCCTTCTGTTCAGAGGCTTATTTTGAGCTGTTCGATGAGAATTGAAGTTATGTTCATCTTGCTTTATTATGCTTTATTATGATGCTCTGCCCCATGGTGGAGGCAGCTTGGTAAGGGTAGTTATTCTATATGTTGTGGATTATAAATCTAAGTGGTGTTTATAATTTACTATTATTTAGAGATTTATGTCGAAAATATCACTTTGCGAGCTTGGCTTTCTTATTGTTTTTTAAAGCATTTTTTTAGTATAAAAAATTTTTGAATTAGAATTTTTTGTGCTTGAAAATTGCTTTAGAAAGTAATAAGAAAGATGTCCTAAGCGAAGCCATTGTAATGGTGTGAGGTGCTTCTCATGGAATTTTTTCAACATTAATTGTATTGTTATTTAAACAATTTATTATAATGAAAATATTCAATGTTAAAAATGATGAATTTTTAGTATAAAAATATTATTGTTATTATATTCCCAAACATTTTAGCAATATAAATATTTAAATTTTATTTACAAAATTAATATTTAAAAGTTTCATCTAAATAAATAGTTGATTTCTGATAAAAACATATTATGTATAATTAGATTTTATGCCATCGCATAAGAATGAAAGATTTTCCTATTTAAACTCTATTTTATTATTTTTAACTTTTATTTTTTCATAAATTTATGTCAAACGTGTAATGTAAATCATCATAAGGGAATGGATTATATTTTAATGATAGATCTAAAAAACATTTGAATGCCAATTTAGCGTAAAAGTAACTGTATTTAAGCAATTATATGAATTATTTATACGGGTTCTTGAATTCTCATGATATTTATATATTTATGACCAAAGAAAAATTTAGGATTGGTTGGATTTAGTAAATTAGAATTTTAAAAATTTAACCAGTAGTTATACTCAATGAATAAATATCATAAAAAATGGACCGTTTCATCAGTCTTAATTGAAGAAAAATATATTTGAAAGTTTATTTCAAAATAAAATGCCCCTATTTTTCACAAATATGGAGGATTTGAATAGTTACGCAACTTGTACATCATAGGAGCTCCTCCACTCTTTCTCTTCCTATCATCTTTTTATATCAAGTAATCATAGTGCATGTGTTTTAATTGCAACAAAGTTTTGAAGCATCAATTTCTCCATTTATCATCAGTTCAAAGTTAATGATGTTTATATATTTGGTTGTTTAGATTTGAATGTATTGTTCGCACTCTAAACTTGAAACCCCAAGCATCAATAGAGATGATAGTATCAACTACGAACTTGTTAGAATATCTTCGATTGAATCATGATTAAACCATCTTCCAACATCTATTTTTAAATCTTATTTTGACTTTTCATATAAGGCTCAAACAATATTTGAATATGGTTTCCATAAGGTTTAATCATGATTTAACATAGTTTGAAGAAGATTTAAAACAGTTCGATCATGTTCAAAGATGGTTCAATATGATTTGAAGATGATTTGATCGTGATTTAAATATAGTTCAATTATGATTTGAAGATGGTTTGATCAGAATTCAATCATGGTTTGATCAACGTTTAATTATAGTTTAAACATGGTTCAAAAATGGCGTGTTTTCTTCTTTCCCGTTATCTCTTTTAAAATTGACTCATTTGAGTTATTTTTTCTATGTAGTTGCATGTTATAATCCTACCTTTAGTGAGACATTAATTACTCGGGTCAAATATAGAGTTGGGTTATGATAGAGAAAGTGGTTAGATAATGTGAGGCTAATGATCTCATTTATAAGTATGAGGTATCTCCCCTAAGTCAATTCTTCAATTGTCCTTAACTATAGTTCTTTTTTTGTTCACCTATTATTGAAGATGATTGATGATGATACGAATAAGGGTTACCCCATTGCGTCTAATATTAGAGGCAAATATACATCATTTGGCATAACTGAGTTCGCTCCAATCACTAGGTTGGGGCTTGGAGAATACTTATATGAGGATGAATTTAATAGAATGATTTAAAGATGTAGATTATTAGATAACTACTTATGTGAAGACAAACATTTTAAGAATTACCACCTTGAGAAAGCATTACTAAAGTGCACTAAGATGGATGATATTTAAAAGCTTGATTTTTGTTTCAATTTTGGTGAACTTATAAGCTTCATTAGTTGTTGTGTTATATTTATTATTGGACTCTTAATTTAATAGTATGTTGTTGGAGTAGATTGTTATATATACTAAAGGTAAACTCTTTTTGAACTTTAAGCGCTCTACAAATGATATTTGAATAAAATTTGAATTTTATTTAAATTGATGTTGTTCGCTATAGATTTTAAATGAGTACCATCGACAATAGAAATGAGAATATTTTAATTCAAAATAAATTTTTGAACATGAGCTTTCATGAAAATGAATTACAAGTTTTTTTTATTCATTTTTTATTGAGAGGCACATAAAGCCAAATTTATATTATTTTTAACAAACTCTTGAATTTAACAGTCACGGATGCCTGGAAACTCGCAAAGGCCGAAGGGGAATTTTTAAGGAGCATAATCATTAACATAAATTAGTAGAAGGAAAATGAAATAAATAATATTTAATTATCAAACTTATAATTTAGTTTGGCGTATTCAATATATTTTGGTGCATTCTATTACTAATAAATGTTTATTTAATCTCTTAATAATTTTGTTTTTTAGAGAATTATGAGCTATTAAATTTAATAGAATGCATCGAAACATTTGGCGAATTCAAAAAAATATATCAAAATATTTGACAAATTTAGAATGAACATATTAAATATTTTAATAGCCAAACAAAATAATAAAACTACTCATTTTTAAATTTTATACATTTAATACTACTTAATACTTATACTGATTTATGTTAGTTACTCCTTAAACTTTCACGAGGCCCAACGGCCAATGCTCCCGCGCTTAAGATCTGACCGAAAAGCCCTAGTCCTCCTCGGATCATGTCTCACCCGTCCTCGCCGCTCCTCCGGCGAACTCAAGCAAATCCACGCCCACCTCCTCATCTCCGGAGGAATCTGCGATCGCTTTGCTGCCGGAAAACTGATCTCCTCTTTTGTAACTGTCGACCTACACTACGCCCTCCTCCTTTTCCGCTGCCTCCCCCATCCTCCCTCCACCTTTCTCTGGAACACCCTTATCGGCGCCTACACCAGCCGCAACCAACCGCTCTCCGCTTTCTCCCTCTTCTCCCGCATGCTTGCAGCCGTACGCCTCCCCAACAACTATACCTTCTCCTTTCTCCTTCGCTCTTGCATCGCTATCTCCTCTCTTTTCGTCGGTCAAGAGCTTCACGCGCTGATCGAGAAGTTGGGGTGGGAGAACTACGATTTCGTATTGAATGGTCTTGTTCATTTATACGCTTCCTGTGGCTGCATGGGCGATGCGCACAAGCTGTTCGACGTATGCCATCACCGAGATGTTGTTACCTGGAGTGCCATGGTTAATGGATACGTTAAGGGTGGACAAATTGGTTTTGCAAGGGAGTTGTTTGACGAAATGCCCGAGAGAAATGCTGTTTCTTGGAGCACCATGATCACTGCTTATGCGGGGGTTGGGATGTTTACCGAGGCTTTGGATGCTTTCAATGAGATGCAGGTTGCAGGGGTTGAGCCTAACCATGCTGGGGTGGTGGGAACGCTCTGCGCTTGCGGTTTTCTTGGAGCTTTGGATCAGGGCAAGTGGATTCATGCTTTCGTAGAGAGGAATGGAATGGAATTAGATAGGATTCTAGGGACTGCACTGATAGATATGTATGCTAAGTGTGGTTGCATTGATAATGCGGATCAAGTGTTTGAGGAAATGATTGAAAGGGATGTGTTTGCTTATACGGCAATGATCTCAGGGTTTTCTAATCATGGGCAGAGTGAGAAGGCGATTGAGATGTTTGCCCGGATGGAAGAGGAAGGGGTGAAGCCTAATGAAGTGACATTTATTTGCATCTTGAGTGCTTGTGGCAGACTTGGTTTAGTTGAGTTGGGAAAGCATTTCTTTGAAAGTATGGGCAGGGTTTATGGAATTGAACCAGGAGTGGAGCACTATGGTTGCTTGGTGGATCTTTTGTCAAGGGCTGGATTGATTGATGAAGCGCAAAAGTTGATAAGGGAAATGCGAATAGAGCCTGATTCATATGTGTTGGGTGCCTTGCTCAATGCTTGTAGAGTTCATGGGGAGGTGGAGGTGGGAAAGGACATTGTTGAGAGCCTAGTGGAAATGGGCCTTGATCATAGTGGTGTTCATGTGTTACTTTCAAATATGTATGCATCTTCTTTCAGGTGGGAAGATGTGAGGAAGGTGAGGAGAGAGATGGAGGAAAATAAGGTTAGGAAAGTGCCTGGATGTAGCATGATTGAGGTTGATGGTGTGGCTTGTGAGTTTGTAGCTGGAGACCAATCACACCCATGTATGGATAAGATTATTCTCACTGTGAAGAGCATGGACAAGCAACTGAAATCCTTTGGTGATGACAATTGTTTAACCCATTTAAGCAATCTATGAAGAATTGAATTTCTAATATGATTGGGAGGTGAAGTTATCTTTACTTATATATACATGTCCATTTGGTGAATGCACAAGCCATCCCTTGCTTTGGTCAATAGGGTTTGATAGTGAATGTGATAAATTCATAGCCTCCTCACTTTTAAAGGCTTTCCACAGTGAACAAATAATTGGGAGAGAGATAAAAAAGAGCAGTTTTTATCTAAAGAAAAAAAACCCATTGTCTTATTGTAGCATTTAAATATTTGAAGTGGAGAAAATGTCTTGGATGAAGCTGGAATCGAAGTTTAGATCCTAGCTGAAATCGAGTCAAAACTGTTGAGGTAATAATTTTGCCATTCCTTTTCCATGAAAGTGAACGAAAATTTATATATTCATCTTGTTCTATCTAAATTTTGTCTGATTTCTGGAGGCACCTTATATTTGTGAATTTAGAGTTTCACGTGCAATTTTGTTTTGTATGAAAGAGTCTTGTTGTTTCCATCACTATATACTTACATGTAACTTTAACCTTCGGATCTTTTATTTCTGCCCATCCAAGCATAAATTTGCACATTATACTTTACATATGACCTATTTGAATTGTTAGCTTTCACTATTTGTGGGATAGGTGTCATCTTGGAAATGCGCTGATGTTTTTTTATTTAATTCCAAACTTGTATACACAAAATTTTGCTTCTTATGCTGCTTTGTGCCAATATTTTTGTGTTATGTTAACAGAAGGTTTGACAGATTGCCCTTACTTTTAGCTGAACCGACCAATCAAGTTTATAATCCTAGAGACAAATAATATAGTTTTTTTTTTTTTTTTAAGAAAGCACAAGAAGTTGTTTTAACTCTTAGGCTTCGTTTGGGATTGCTTTCTTTATGCTTCTTAAAGTAGTTAGCACAATTTTTTTTTTTTACTAGAAAGCTGCTTTAAGAAGCAATAAGAAAGCCATCCCAAACGAAGCCTTAATATTTGGTTGTGTTGTTCATCTTTCAAGTCTAGGAGGACAGGATTTGGCTCTTATCATTGGTCATGTAAAGATGTCTGTGCCAAATAAAATATACTTTGATGTTATTGTCTATCCATGATGATTATTTTTCTTCTGGATGATGATCAGTTGTTGTTGATTCAGTAACATCAGTTTTAGAAGAAATTGAATATAATTTTAGATCATTGTAATCAAAGTATCTCTCAACTCAGCTGTGTATTATACTTTTCAAGTCTGTTTACTCTCCCCCTCATTTGCTTTTACCTGCTTGATCTTCTCTTTATTGTTTTGCCCGTCAAATACTATCTTGATATGCGCATATACAGTATATAGAGAAGACCAGTAAGGCTTTAGAAAAAGGAGTTCAAATTGCACATTTAGATTTCGTTTGGGACGGCTTTTTTACTGCTTCTTAAAGCAGCTTTCAAGTACAAAAATTTCAACTTTTGTACTAAAAAGCTGTGAAATTTTTGTACTTGAAAGCTGCTTTAAGAAGCAGCCTCTCTTTTCGTCGGTCAAGAGCTTCACGCGCTGATCGAGAAGTTGGGGTGGGAGAACTACGATTTCGTATTGAATGGTCTTGTTCATTTATACGCTTCCTGTGGCTGCATGGGCGATGCGCACAAGCTGTTCGACGTATGCCATCACCGAGATGTCGTTACCTGGAGTGCCATGGTTAATGGATACGTTAAGGGTGGACAAATTGGTTTTGCAAGGGAGTTGTTTGACGAAATGCCCGAGAGAAATGCTGTTTCTTGGAGCACCATGATCACTGCTTATGCGGGGGTTGGGATGTTTACTGAGGCTTTGGATGCTTTCAATGAGATGCAGGTTGCAGGGGTTGAGCCTAACCATGCTGGGGTGGTGGGAGCACTCTGCGCTTGTGGTTTTCTTGGATCTTTGGATCAGGGCAAGTGGATTCATACTTTCGTGGAGAGGAATGGAATGGAATTAGATAGGATTCTAGGGACTGCACTGATAGATATGTATGCTAAGTGCGGTTGCATTGATAATGCGGATCAAGTGTTTGAGGAAATGATTGAAAAGGATGTGTTTGCTTATACGGCGATGATCTCAGGGTTTTCTAATCATGGGCAGAGTGAGAAGGCGATTGAGATGTTTGCCCGGATGGAAGAGGAAGGGGTGAAGCCTAATGAAGTGACATTTATTTGCATCTTGAGTGCTTGTGGCAGACTTGGTTTAGTTGAGTTGGGAAAGCATTTGTTCGAAAGTATGGGCAGGGTTTATGGAATTGAACCAGGAGTGGAGCACTATGGTTGCTTGGTGGATCTTTTGTCAAGGGCTGGATTGATTGATGAGGCGCAAAGTTTAATAAGGGAAATGCGAATAGAGCCTGATTCATATGTGTTGGGTGCCTTGCTCAATGCTTGTAGAGTTCATGGGGAGGTGGAGGTGGGAAAGGACATTGTTGAGAGCCTAGTGGAAATGGGCCTTGATCATAGTGGTGTTCATGTGTTACTTTCAAATATGTATGCATCTTCTTTCAGGTGGGAAGATGTGAGGAAGGTGAGGAGAGAGATGGATGAAAATAAGGTTAGGAAATTGCCTGGATGTAGCATGATTGAGGTTGATGGTGTGGCTTGTGAGTTTGTAGCTGGAGACCAATCACACCCATGTATGGATAAGATTATTCTGACTGTGAAGAGCATGGACAAGCAATTGAAGTCCTTTGGTGATGACAATTGTTTAAACCATTTAAGCAATCTATGAAGAATTGAATTTCTAATATGATTGGGAGGTGAAGTCATCTTTACTGATATATACATGTCCATTAGGTGAATGCACAAGCCATCCCTCGCTTTGGTCAATAGGGTTTGATAGTGAATGTGATAAATTCATAGCCTCACTTTTAAAGGCTTTCCACAGTGAACAAATAATTGGCAGAGAGATAAAAAAGAACAGTTTTTATCTCAAGAAAAAAACCCATTGTCTTATTGTAGCATTTAAAATATTTTAAGTGGAGAAAATGTCTTGGATGAAGCTGGAATCGAAGTTTAGATCCTAGCTGAAATCGACTCAAAACTGTTGAGGTAATAATTTTGCCATTCCTTTTCCATGAAAGTGAACGAAAATTTATAGATTCATCTTGTTCTATCTAATTTAGTCTGATTTCTGGAGGCACCTTATATTTGTGAATTTGGAGTTTCACATGCAATTTTGTTTTGTATGAAAGAGTCTTGTTGTTTCCATCACTATATACTTACATGTAACTTTCACCTTCGGATCTTTTATTTCTGCCCATCCAAGCATAAATTTGCACATTATACTTTACATATGACCTATTTGAATTGTTAGCTTTCACTATTTGTGGGACAGGTGTCATCTTGGAAATGCGCTGATGTTTTTTTATTTAATTCCAAACTTGTATTCACAAAATTTTGCTTCTTATGCTGCTTTGTGCCAATATTTTTGTGTTATGTTAACAGAAGGTTTGACATATTGCCCTCACTTTTAGCTGAACCGACCAATCAAGTTTATAATCCTAGAGACAAATAATATAGTGTTTTTTTTCAGAAAGCACAAGAAGTTGTTTTAACTCTTAGGCTTCGTTTGGGATTGCTTTTTTTATGCTTCTTAAAGTAGCTAGTACAATTTTTTTAAAATTTTTTACTAGAAAGCTGCTTTAAGAAGCAATGAGAAAACTGTCCCAAACGAAACCTTAATGTTTGGTTGTGTTGTTCATCTATCAAGTCTAGGAGGACAGGATTTGGCTCTTACCATTGATCATGTAATGATGTCTGTGCCAAATAAAATATACTGATGTTATTGTCTATCCATGATGATTAGAATGATTATTTTTCTTCTGGATGATGATCAGTTGTTGTTGATTCAGTAACATCAGTTTATGAAGAAATTGAAGATAATATTAGATTATTGTAATCAAAGTATCTCTCAACTCAGCTGTGTATTATACTTTTCAAGTCTGTTTTCTCGCCCCCTCATTTTCTTTTACCTGCTTAATCTACTCTTTATTGTTTTGCCCGTCAAATACTATCTTGATATGCGCATATACAGTATATAGAGAAGACCAGTAAGGCTTTAGAAAAAGGAGTTCAAATTGCACATTTAGGTTTCGTTTGGGACGGCTTTTTTATTGCTTCTTAAAACAGCTTTTTAGTACAAAAGTTGAAATTTTTGTACTTAAAAGCTGCTTTAAGAAGCAACAAAAAAGCCGTCCCAAACAAAGTCTTAGGCTTAGTTTGGGACGGCTTTCTTATTGCTTCTTAAAGCAACTTTTAAGTACTAAAATTTTCTTCAAGAAGCAGTATGAAAGCCGTTTCAAATGAAATCTTATTCAAAATTGTACTCACTAATTGTTTTTTCATGAATAGGTTGGTGCAGATGGAAAAATGATCACGACCAGATTTTGTAAGTGAATTTCTTCGCTGTTTTTTTCTTTTAGTCGGGCTCCTCTGGTTCATGGTCTTTTTCTTTTTTACCAATTTTTTTATTTTTTGAAGCCTTTCTTATTTTCAATTGGGGATTATATCTGACTCAAATATTAAAAGCAGTTCTAAATTTGGATTGATTTTTGGCTTTGATCATATTTGAATTATAGTTAACAAGCTGTCTAGTTTGACTTGAATTGGACTTGACTTTAATTAAGCATGAATTAAGATTTTGTTTGGAACAGTTTTCTTATTGAAAAAATTGCTTTAAGTAATGAGAAAATCGTCTCAAACAAAACCTAAGTCAACTTAGCTCAATTTTGAATTGATATATACATATACGCCCATTTATGTTTATTTGAATTGATGTATCTATGCGTCTATGTATTTGTATATATGAATCAATATAAGCATTAGTGTATATGTAATGTATGTCTGATTAAAGCTTCGTTTGGAACGGCTTTCTTAATTCTTCTTAAAGCAACTTTTTAGTACAAAAAATTTAATTGTTGTATCAAAAAGCTTCTTTAAAAACAGTAAAAAAGCTGTCCTAAACGAAGCTTATGAATCTATTTTACAAGATCAAAATTAGATATAATTTTGGTTTGAATTGAAGCTAATGAGTTGCTTATGAATCAAATTGATATTGGATTAAGATAGTTTATAATCAAATTTGGCTCAACTTAAGATCAAATTAAATGACTTTGAATCTACCTTGAATTTGGATGGGAAATGGCACAAAATTAAATAATCAACGGTCTATTTTCCACTCTCTCCGTCAATCTCATTCTTCTCTCTTTCTCTCTCTATATATATAGACTTTGGACCCTCTTTTGGCTAAAATTATGCACAAGTCACTATGCTTCTAGTCACCTTTACGAGGTACTGTGAAAATTTATTTATATATGGTTGAGTGAAATTTAAATAAATGTTAATTTTAAGCTCTACAAATGGATTGATATAAATTGATTTTTTACACAAATTTGAAATTATTATTTATGGTCTATTTGGGATAATTTTTTTATTGTTTTGCTTTTTAGATTGCAATCATAGTTTTTATTTAGTTATTATTTTTCATTATTTTTAAGAAATTTTTGTACTAGAAAGTTATTTTTTTATCATAGCTTTCAAAAAAGTTATTTTCTTTATAATATTTTTATAATCATCTTTTTATAAAAAGCCACAGCAATCTCAAATAAATTCTTAATCTGACTTCAAACATATTGACTTTGATTAAAATTTAAAAAATTATTTTAATTTTTTAGAATCTTGAATATTTGAGCAAAATTTACAATCATCTTTTGGAACATGAAGCTTCTAAATTTACAATATATATTTAAATGTGACTTTGGTTTACTCAAAATATTTGAGCACAATCCAAAGAAAAAAATGATGAAGTTGTATGCATCACATCAAAAACCTATTCTATTATGCTAAGAAATGTTGGTTTATCATCTTCAGCATCTCTGCACTAATTTGAGTAGTATTTTCAATATAATTTACATTAATGATATTGTATAAATAAATATATAAATTTAGATATTATATGATGAAAATAAAAATTCAGAGTGGTATGTATGTAAATTCATTTTTCATGTATTGCACTTACATATTTTGTCCAACTTGTTGTTTTTGGCTCTTTTTTTTACATTAATGATCGATTGAGTAATTACTGTATATATATTTTCGGAATAATTATAACTATAAAATGATTTAATTTATTAAACAATAAATTGTATGATAAAAAACAATTACAAAATTATAAATGATAAAAAATTTTACAGCAGAAATTCTCATAAAATAGTGACTATTTTTAATTTTGAATTTTATTTTGAGATTACTAGAATGTTAATTACTTATATTTTATTTTCATCTTTAAATACATTATTTTTTTTTCATAAATAATAAAGAAATTTGAACTTTGAAGTTGATATTTCACCTTCCAGAACTATCCATGCTGTTACCTGCATCCATTTTAATGAAAGTGAAGGGCAAGATGGTAAACTCATACATAGAAGCAGACTTCGAAAACGAGAGGCCGCGACGTGGAGGGGCAAATCGGTTAATTATGGCTTTATATGGATGGGGTCCACTGAGCCGGTTTTGATGTGGCGGTAGAAACCGAGAGACCACCTTTCGGCATGTGTGAGTGACACGTGCTTCTCCTAACACGTGCTCCGTGCCCGTGTACTTTCGGTTTCGTGGAGACGCATAAAAGATTAAAACAAATTTTCTTTTTCTAATTTACTGCTCTTAATAATAACATATTTCAATTTATTGTGTTACTCTCAGAAAAATCATAATCTCATTCAGTTGTGATATATCATCAGAAAATTATCTTGATCGGGCACGAATATTGAGGCAAATTCAATTTAGAAACTTCAAAAATTAAATCAATGAACATCTTAACTCCAATTTCAGCAAATTTACAATCGAACTGAACGTATCGAAAATATGAACCCAATGATACAAAATTCGACCCAATTTGAGCTCAAATGGGTCCAAATCAAAGACACAAAGCTCATTTGGAAGGTTCAAACGATAATTTGGATTACCAAAAGGTCTCCAAACATGACATGCTTATAATCAAATCGAGGGGCTCGACGAGATGAATCCAACAAGCCCAAGATTGCTGAATTCTGATATAATTAAGACATTCAAATGTCCAATAAATGGTCCATGACAAGGGAATCAACATCGCCCGTCCATTCAAATCACTCCCAAATTATCCTTGATCTTCCTCCTATTTATTGATCATGCCACTCTCAGAAAATTATAAATAGACCTCACATTTCTCATCTGGGGATGATGGAGGCTCAACAAAGAAGACAATGAAGAGTTCTCTTGCCACAAGCTCCTCCTCGACCACCTCCCAGCCATAGACCGATGCCGGACTTCTACCTGATGCCAAACTTCCGTTCATCACCGAACTTCCGTATGTCGTCGGACTTTCGTCGACATTCTTTCCGACGCTGAACTTCTACTTGACGTCGGACTTCCACCCGTCTCCAAACTTTTGTTAGTCGTCAAACTTTTACTCGACATCAGACTTCTGCCCGTCGCTGGATTTCTGCTCGACGCCAGACTTTCACCCGTCACCAAACTTCCGCCAGCTGTCGGACTTCCACCCATCACCAAACTTTCGCTCGTCGCCAAACTTCCGCTAGTTGCCGGACATCTGCCCGACTCTATACTTCCACCCGTCGCCGAACTTCTGCCCATCGCCGGACTTTCGTCGGACTTATACCAGATGTCAGATTTCCATCCGTTACTAGAATTCTTTTTTAGGCCGGACTTCCGCCCATCAACGGTCCATCAAACCTCCGTCGCCACGATCTTTCTGACCTCTGTCGCCCGCCGATTACGGCCCTTCCGTCCTTCGTCGCCGACTACGCTCCTTCCAACCTCTGTCGTTAGACAATGGACTTTCCGACCTCCTTCGCCCGCCGACTATGATTCTGCTAACCAAACAAATATATAAATACTGATTCTTTCAAGTCACATGTAATGCACGTTATATGATGTATATTTATTACATCAAGCTAAGACCTTCCCCCAAGGTAGGAAGGAAGGGCCTCATTTGTAATCGACTGCAGATAATAGTGGATTCATTCAATCTGGGATATGCCCCATGGTTTTTCCCCTTTTCATGGTTTTCCATGTAAAAAAATATTGGTGTCTCTTATGAATGCTACACCCTCTCTATTTTATCTGATTGTATGCTGGATCTTCATATAAAGCTAAGATGTTAAACTTTATATTTATGTACCGCCGCGAATATTCCAGGACACAACAAGTTAAAATAATGTAAGATATAATTATATGATTATTAGGTTGTAAAAGGTAACCCGTCTCCAAACTTTTGTTAGTCGCCAGACTTCTACTCGACATTGAACTTCCACTCGTCGCTGGATTTCTTCCCGACGCCAGACTTCCACCTATTGCCAAACTTCCGCCAGTTGCCGGACTTCCGCCCAAAGCCAAACTTCCGCCCGTCGCCAAACTTTCGCTAGTTGTCGGACATCTGCCCAACGCTAGACTTCCACTCGTCGCCGAACTTTTGCCCATCGCCGAATTTTCGTCGGACTTATACCAGATGTCGGACTTCTACCCGTTATTGGCATTCTTTTTTAGGCCGAACTTCCGCCCGTCAACGGTCCATCCAACCTCCGTCTCCAGATAACGATCTTTCTAACCTTCGTCGCCCGCCGACTACGGCCCTTCCGTCCTTCATCACCAACTACGCTCCTTCCAACTTCCGTCTTTCCGACCTCCTTCGTCCGCCTACTTTGATTCTGCTGACTAAGCAAACATATCAATACTGATTCTTTCAAGTCCCATCATGTAATGCACATTATATGATGTATATTTATTACATCAATCTAAAGCCTTATCCCAAGGAAGAGCCTCATTTGTAATCGACTGCATATAATAATGGATTCATTTAATCTGGGCTAGGCCACACAGTTTTTCCCCTTTTCAAGATTTTTCACGTAAGAAAAATATTGACGTCTCTTATGAATGCTACACCCTCTCTATTTTATCTGATTGTATGCTGGATCTTCATATAAAGCTAAGATGTTAAACTTTATATTTATGTACCGCCGCGAATATTCCAGGACACAACAAGTTAAAATAATGTAAGATATAATTATATGATTATTAGGTTGTAAA